CAACCATTTCTTTTGTATTGCATCACTGTGTTAAAATAACATTTAACTACTCCTGATGTCACAGTGACACTTTTACTGAAACATCCAGTGAACATTAAAAACATTTTCAGCTCAAATTGTCTAAATATCTGGAACTTAGAAGAGCAAAGACTTCAACAGTATGCAATTTTGTTACTTAAGTAAAAGGTTGTTTGTGTAATATCTCAGTTGTCCAGATAGGCTCCATAGCATTGCTAAGTAAAAGGTTAGATACCAGAGCACAGAAATACTCAAGTAATAAGTAAAATATCACATGAAAAAAATCTACTTAAGTACCTGTTAAAAAATAACTTCAAGAGTTAAAAGTAAACATATTTCATACTTTGAGGGTGTATAAATCTTCAAATGCAATGAATTTGATAAAGATTTGTGTTGAATTTTGTTCAACAGAAACAACTGAATCAATTGTTTTTCCCTAGCTGTTTTTATCTGTATAGTTTCAAACTATAAAAAAATAACCCCTCAGGCCTTTCAGCAGGTCTCAAACAATCATAAAAATACTTTTACTTTTCAGTCTAGTCTAGTTCAAAAATGTAGTGGAGTAAAAAGTACAGATACTTGCTGTTAAATCAAGTAAAAGTAAAACATATCCACGTTAATATATGTTTAAGTAATGTACAGATACCTAAAATCATTATTTAAGTAGAGTACTTTACTACCTTTCCTTCATTACGTTCCACCACTGAATTATCACAGCAAAGGACAAGACATGTCCTGTGTGACTAATACTTTCTGCATCGTCACTGTCTGCTCTTTGGCTGAGTGGATTTGTGGAGTGGAGCTTCCCCGGTTATGTGAAATAATACAATACCAATGTAAAGGTGCTCAAAAGGTCAGAATGCAAATCTACTTTGTACAAGAATAGTATAGAAACAGCTGTATAGTACATGCAATACAGTTTTTTTCAGGTCAGGCAAATTGCAATTACATAACTACTGAAAAAATGACACTAGCTTTAGTAACTTGATTTAAATGAAAGATTATTTATTTTTTTACATATTTAAAAGGTCTTATATACTGCGAAAAATTTACTCTTGTGAGCTTTAAGTCATGGTATAATGTTGTTACCTCCTCAAAAACATACCTGGAGTTGTCACACACACATTCACACATGTTATTATGAGTCTGTCTACACCTCCAAAGCTCAGACTGCTCTGTTCCACCTTGTGATGTCATGAAGCGGTAGTTTCAAGTTAACAGCTTTACCTTTAGTCTAGTCGAGACTGGAAATTCCAGGGCTGAAATGATCCAAATGATTCAAGTGAAAGTGTGTTACCTGGAGTACCACATGAAATCACATGGTGGAACAAAGTGTTTTCTTTTTGAGAGAAGAACTCAGCCTAAATTTGCAGGATGTGAGTTAAACATGTGTGAATGAAACAAAACACAACTCCAGGTATGTTTCTGATGAGGAAACAACATTACAACATAGATCAGATAACAGTGTACTACTGTCCCTTTAAAGTGTCTCTTAGTTGATGGGTTTACTTTAGAGTGACAGCACAGAGAATTAACTGAATGTCTCTGCTCTTCACCCCCCTTCACACAGTCCAACAAAGACCATGAGCCAAAGAAAACCCCTTGTGTTAACTTTTTGCATCATCCTCTGAATGAGAAAAGTGTATACCAAGTGTTTTGCCAAAGAGAAAGAGAGTGGAACCAGCAGTCCAATGAATGAACAATGGTTTAAGTGAAGCGTGAGGTAAGCAGACGTAAGTGAAACCCCACAGGATGAGGAGCCAGCACATATTATACTGCAGATTCCCTTTGAGACTGAAGCAGAGCCGGGCCCCTCAGTCCCAGCAGAACACAGCGCACCAATACATTGTGGCAGCATTGTGGAGCTGAGATTGGAAACAGACTGCTGTGAGGGAGTGTACAAACCTGTTGGGAATCACACATTGCAATGACAGAAATTTCCAGACTCAGAAAATGTGTACAGGAAAGATACAGCTGCATAGTTTTAGGTAAGGTACTGTTTTGTAAGTACAATATGATTCATACTGCAGTGCGCTCTAGATGAAATTATTATATTCGCGGATAAATCGTTTTAAAATAAAGCATCTTGAGATTACGGCGCTGTCTTTACATTTGCAAATGATAATAAAGGTCACTCTTTAATGCACTCACTGGTTAAATCTAGTCACTTTGAAAACAGAGAAGCTCCGCGCTATAGCCTCTACTTAGTCAAATCTCTGTGAAGCAAAATTACAGTGTGCTGGTAAAAGGAAATACAAGTCTGAATACTTGGAGAAAGTCTGTTTTACCCAACTGAAATTATCCACCTGAGGAGAACAAAAGGTTTTATTTTGTACATTCTCTGAACACAACAGGGAACATCTTGTTAAGTCAAATATACTTCTACTTGCTTTCATAAGTTCAAAAGTGCATCATTACTCAGAAATGAATCAGTTCTATCCACAAACTGTAAATATAAACAGACAAAGCTAACCCGCTAGCCACTGCGCTCCAAATAAGAAGTGAGTATGGGCGTGCTTCTGGCTCCATCGATTCTGGATCCAAATCACTGTATATTGAGAAAACACCACCCCTCACTCTGTAACTGCTGCTGTCAGGCTTTACAATTTGGTCTTAAAATTTTCGTATTTACCCACTCATTATTTACACTATTACATTATTTACACTATAGACACTATTTTGTCTATAAATCAAAACCTATTCTTAATATGGAACTGGCTCCAAATTCGCTCCTGTAACTGCTAACTACTGTGAGCTTCATTTGACTGGAGCCAAATGCCATGGGTGACGTCACACTCCCTTAGTCTACTTCTTTATACAGTCTGTGGTTCTACAAAATAGTCCAACTGGAGCACTTAAATGCACTGTTGTCTGTGCTTGTGCATAAATAGGTCTGTCAAACACTTCAGCATCACATTACACATCTGTGTCAGCTCGCAATGCAACCAGCAAATCATCAGAAAACAGTTCAAGTGAAAGAGGGAGAGTTGGAGACTTGGAGACTTTTCAAAAAAAAAAAAAAAAAAAAAAAAAGAACTAAATAAATGAATGTTTGCTGTTTTTATTCCAACTTTATGTGCATGTTTACATTATCTTTATATTAAGATTAAACCACTTTTGTAGACTAAAAAGAGTTGAAATTATATCCGAATTATCCAGCTCTTCCAGAACGCTGTTAGCCAGGCTGGCACCACTTTGTGCCTCTGCTCAATCTCTCCCCAGCGAGTAGGTCAGGAATCAGAATACACTAGACGGTTTGCAAGAACCCCGGAAGTTGTAGACCGTGCACCGGCTAATCAGCTGTGAAGCCATGACATCAAACTGAAATGCCTGTCTGGGTCCCTTTTGTGGTACAGCACAACAGTAAACAAAGCGGTCAAGATGGATGTAGACGAAGCCATACATTCTGTGTTGGCCACAATTCCCAAGATTGAGAATTTAAAGCCGGAATAAAGAAAACTTTTGGTGAATTTTATCAAGGGGAAAGACGTTTTTGTCCTTCTTCCTATGAGATTTGGAGCTTTACACACATCACAACCAAATAGCAAGCGAATAAATGCTATGCTGTCAGATGGTTTCCACAAAGTGAAACCAGCTGATGAATCAAGCAGTAACAGCTAGAACACTGTTACTGCTTGAGTAGACTTTCACAATAGCCACAACACATGCAAACACACACTGAGTGCACTCAAACTTAACACTGAGCCTAAAGCTGCCTTCAGGGACAAAACAAAAACGTCTGTGTAAATAGAAGCCAATCAAGGAGAATAATTCATCCAGACAAATTATCATGTGTCTATTTTGGTGCAAGAAAAGGAACACTTGTATCTCTTGTTTAGAACGAGATTCCTCATGAATTTTAATACACGAGACAACCCAGCCCAGTGGCATAAAGAATTGTTTAGTAAAATTATAGGCCAATCTACGCCTTCAAATCCTCAAATTGAGCCAATCAGCTAAATATTGCCTTGTATAATTTGCAGCTTTAAATAAGGCATACCATTATGAGAGCTGACTGAAATATCTTCATCTTTCCTTATAACTGGAATACAAGTTATATCTTTTAAGTTTTGTTGTGTCTGTAGCAGGAAAACTACTTGTGTAAAATTAGTTTTGCTCCTTTACAGATATAGGCTATTTTCCCCTGAGATCAAAATAAGTCTGTGTGCTGTCTGCATCTAATTATTTTAATTAATTGTCAGTTGTTTTACTGTCCAATAGGGGTATAATGATAACAAAGTCTCATAATATGATGTGTTCGCAGTATGAACCTCACGGTACAATATTTATTGCGATATCGTGGGAAAGCTCATGATATGGTGGGGAGGCTCACAATTAGGGATGTACCAATATCCAAATCTCTCAGTACGATATTTTCATGATATACATTTCACAGTATGATATTTATTGTGATTTTTTGTGGACGTTAACAAAACTGTTAATAAGCTACTTTTTCTACTTAAAATGCCTTGACAAGATTTAATCCAAAGAACTAAGACTTAAAAGTGCTTAGAAGTGTTATTTCTTCTTGTAGTCACTGGAATGGAGCAAAGGATCATGGTCTATGTAGTTTCTGTCTATTTTTTCGACTTCGAATAATTCGATATATTGTGATGCTTCACGATATTATTGTGTGAACTTTAACAATACCATATCACGATATTTCGGTTATTCGGTGAGTCCAACACTCATGAAGTGTGCATTAGAGTGCTCAGCGTGCTTAAGGCAGTAAAAACAAGTTATAGCAACAAAGGTTAAATTGCAGTGCTAGACCTGCTTTAAAACATTTTCTTTATGTAACCTATTTTTTTGCCTTCAGTAGGCCTGTAAGGAATTTCAATTCAAATGTTGTGAATTATAGAAGAAAAAATATCCACAACCTCTCTTCAGATCAGCGAGCACATTACAGTCCCATGAGCAAATGAAGTTGCAGGAGTCATGACACAGTGTAGATAAAGTTGAGCATGTTACTTTTGACTGACCTTGTAGCAGCGACTGGCCTTTGTGGAAGGGTCCGGAGTGCACCACCTGGTAGTGTTTGACCTGAAATCCAGGGACACAGCCCTCGTGGCCTCCGTCCTCCTGTCCGCCCATACAAGTAACCTGCACACAGAGAGCAAGGACAACATCAGAAAAACCCCAAAGTGTGTGATATGTTTAAAGGTCCTATATTACCTTACACCGACTCTTATGAGCTTTACCTCATGTTGTAAGGCTGTTATCTCATCAAAAACATACCTGGAGTAGTGTTTTGTTTCATTCACACATGTTTGAGCAATCCTGCATTAGTAGTTGTAGTTTTTAATTGGATAGCTACAATTAAATTTTAGTTCAGTAGAGATCGGTAATTCCAAATCTGAAATCATCTGAATGATTCTAGTGAAGATGAATGGAGTTTAAAAACACAGTGGAGCAGTTCCTGTATTACTGTGTTATTATGACATCACAAGGTGGAACAGTGTGTTTTCTTATTGAGAGAAGAACCCAGGCTAAATATGATGAGTTTGTCTGTTAAACATGTGTGAATGAAAATCAGAAAATAACACAATATGCGCCTTTTAAAGTCAATATTCAAAGTCAAAGTGTATTGGCTAAAATGATTTTAAGTGACTGCAGTAAAAACCGATAAAAAGACGTGACAATATGTTGAATGGAGGTCAGATGATTCAGAGCAGAGCAAAGACTGGTATCTGTAATTGGTTATTACCAGAATAAGATTGTATAATCTTTTTAAGGGATGTGATGACTCCAGTCAAGGTTAAGATGGCCCAAAAGAAAAGTTTAAATATTGTTGTTGTTGATAGCTTCTTTTCTACATTTTTCTTTTTATTTCTGTCAGGTGTAAAAGCACTTTTAGATGTTTTCTTTTATTTTCGTACATGGACAGTTTTCAGATTGCAACTGAAAGGAAAACACAGGGCATTCATTACTCAACAAAGTAATGGAACAAAGAATGCACTCTTTGCCTATAGTTATAGTTGTAAATAGTGTGTACAGAACTCCATGTGGCTCATTTTTGCCATTCATATGAAAATGTAAATGTTTAAATATTTCATCCACCCATAATTCTATCACTATTTAGCATATTGCAATTCCATGAAAACAGCAATGTTTACATGTACATGGTATTTTTTTAAAACTGAGACATTTTCCTTCGTTTGTACCCATCTTTTACATGCACACAGCGAATTCGCCTCTGAAAATAAATCTTTCTAAAAACTCCAGCTACAGTGGAGAGATTCTGTAAAACTACAGTTCTGAGTTTGTGTATAAAGTGAGTTAAACAGAGTTTTAGGCAACTGACGCGACCAGTGTTTACCTTTTGCTCTGATAATGATCATAGAAACATTCAGATTAACATTTCTTCTGGTGCAAACACTTTTCATGTATTTGCATTTGCACACACACCTAATGTATCACATCGATGACCAGAGATGAATGAGGCTCGGAGGTCAGCCACTTCTTTAACATATCTGTGGAGAGGCAACCCCGCTCAGTAATGCATGTTTTTCAAGGCATTTTTGAGTAATACTTACAACTGTAATGAAATAAATGCTATAGGTTTTAATCTAATCCAGGCGCCGTATTTATGCGAGTTGATGTAAACAAAAACTTTTTTTAAAACTATGCTGTGTGCACAATGTTATTTTGGAAAACAGAGGGCGGGAAATATTTGTTTCTCAACATACCTGACTATGTGTAAGCGTAGCCTTAAACTATGCTGATGTAAACTCATTTTAAGTGTAGGTTACAGTAAGTTAAAACGGTCTACTTATATGTAGCAAAAGTTGTTGAGCATGGGGGAGGGGGATACAGAAAAAATATACATATTATGAAAAGCTTACACATGGCATGAAAAGACAAACAATACTTTGATAGTGCACACTAAACAATCTTGAATTAAAGGGTTGTCTAAATGCTCTATATTTGTAAGTCAGGAATCTAAGGCAGAGTGTAGTTTTCTAATTTCCCGTATAACAGAAGAACAAAAGATTGTCTTGTCAGCTTTGACATCTCTTTCACAGGCAAAGCCTCATCTTCAAGATATGTTTACGACTCCCCCAGGGAATCTAATGACATGCATTCATTGATTTGTTGAGCTGCTTGTCTGTTTGATGTCTCTGTACAGGGTGTGATTGGCTCTCTTTAACTTCACCACAATGGAGCACAGGGATTACTAGGACAGGGCCATGTAAGGGAAACAAAAGCCCCAGCTACAGAAAAAGCACTATCTATCCAGCAGGCACAATTACCACGCTCACTCTGTGTCTTAGCCACACTAAATTGGGTATTGTGTAGCTGCTTAATGAGATGATCGACAAAGAGGAGCGAGGTAAATAAATCTGTAAGCATTTAGCTACATGTGCAGACAAATAGAAACCCAGCATCAGTGCACATTAAAGACAGTAGTAGAGATAAGAGAAAGTTCACTTCACTATACATTAATTGATCCAAATGTTATCCAAATGTTTTGAAATATTTGTACTTTATAAACAACACCACATATATGGACAAAATAGGACCTTTCATTAGTAATTTTAAAATGGCTTTTATTTATATTAGAAGACAATGGTTATATTCAACAAACTACTATTTTGTGTGTTGAAAATTATGATAATGATACACAAATAATAATAATAATATCCATCACTCCTCACTTACCCACAGCAAATCTCTCACTCAAACCCCACTTTCAGCAAGGTGGGTGAAGTGTCTTGCCCAAGGACACAAGAACAGTTTACACTAGGGAGACTGACACCTCATTGCAGTATGCTGGTATGCAGCGGTCTCCCATCCAAGTATTGACTAGACCCAACCCTGCTCAGCTTCCAAGATCAGACAACATCGAGCATTCTCAAGGCTGCATAAGTTGACTTCCTTTTTTTTTTGAACAAGCTTTTTCACATTTGGTATGCATTTATCATAATCACAAAAATTCATACCAAGAAACCAACAAAAACAAGCTGAAGTCCGCATGAATTATATTGTAATTAGGTAAACAGTACACTGGACAGGCACTACTTTAACTGTCATTCTATCTGGGTGGAGTCTATATGTCTGTAAGTACTCATGCAGGCTCTGACCAATTACCTCAAAATCTATTGATGAAAAATGAAAACTAAATTTTTCTGCAGAACACTGTGATTTTACCACATCAAACATATAACTGCCCATCACAAAGCTTCAACTTTTACACTGTAAAAAAAACAAAGCTCATCTAACCAGAGCATATTTAAGCCTTGAGGCAGACAAATGGAAGGGGGTCCTGAGAGAGGCAGATGCAAGGGTTGTATTGGTCTCAGATAGATCGGTGTGCATGGGGGAGACATAAATACCGCTACCTATCGACAGGCACTTGGATAGCAGGTCTTTGGGTTTATGTTCACTCTCCAAACGCCTGCTCCAAACACTCAATCAGGAGAAACAATCCATATGCATACATCTCCCAAGCTTAGAGCCCTGCACTCGCACCAGCTACGCTCAATAATGGAAGCTAAATAATGAGACCTGTGTTGTACATGTATTGCATTAAGCTTGCTGCAACTAATACCTAAATGTGTAGGAGGACCATTGAACAGAAGTGGGTGGTACTTACTTACATGTACTTGAGTAACTGTTGTGAAGAAATTGTGTTTTTCAAGAGTAGTTTTCAGAAATATTACACACATACACACATTTGAAAATACCAGATTTTGTGTGTTATTTCAGTGTTTTTTATTAAAACAAAATATCACAGGTGACTGAAAAGCAGCAGATTTCACCAGAATAAATGAGAGAAACACTAAACTGAATTTAGAGGTGAGAAAAAAGTTATCTTGTTCAAAGTAATGAGTGATCAGTGAGCTCCTTTGTTTCTCATCTCACTGAAATAAAACAACCTGATTGGACAGACGTGTTTGAGGGGACAACAACAGGACTGGTGACTAGACCAGTGGTGGAAGAAATACTCAGTTTTGTTACTTAAGTAAAAGTACTGGTACCAGAGCAAAATACTCAATTAAATGTAAAAGTATCACATGAAAAAAATGATATTTTAAGACTTCAAATGTAGTGATTTTGATAAAGATTTGGAATGAAACAAACTGAATTCATATTTTTTTCCAGTTTCCTCAAACTATGAACATGATAAAATATAAATAAAATATATAAATAAATAAACCTTTAAACATTTTACTTTAATATTTACTTTCCAGTCCTGTTAAAAATGTAGTGGAGTAGAAAGTACAGCTCCCTGCTCTCAAATGTAGTGAAGTTAAAGTAAAAGTATCCACTGTAAAATGTACTAAAGTAAAGATATCCAAAATGTATACTTAAGTACAGTACTTCACTTTTACTTTGTTATATTCCACCACTGGGCCAGACTGATATCCTTCTGTATTTAAAAAAAAGAGAGATTCATCATTATGGACTAGTCTGTCAACCCACCTCTGTATGTACAGTATATGAGCAATAATCAAGTAATACCACAGTGTGTAGGAGGGCACATAGATCCTGTAACTGTGGGCGTACACTGCAGATCCCTGGGTCGGTTCATAGCCGTAGAGTTTGACATCAGATTGAGTTCAAGTGTGAAGGAGCAGTCAGGTGATTAAGGCAATGACTTGGCAGACCACACAGTAAATGTCACCTCTGCTCCGAATCAATAACGCCACAAGAATCCACAGAGCATCAGATGGACGGTGAGATGCAGGGAGCAGACAGACGTCCGGCCGTGCACTGAGAGAGCCAGGAGGAGGTGTAAGAGGAAGTGGTGTGTGCTGATGCAGGAGAATGTGTGAATAAACTCAGACAGACAGCACAACAGACAGGTGCAGGTAGAATGGCAACAGGCTGCTCGCTCTCATTTCTAACAGATACTTTCCAGATGGGTATATAGGGTCCTCTCGTCTAGTCAGAATGTTCAAGTTTGAAAATATGAACTTTTTTTTTTGTTTGTTTGCCTTAAGAATGTTAATATAATACATGATACAGATATAAACAGAGACCAGAGACAACCGCTATGGACACAAGCAAAATATGTGTTTGAAATGAGCGGGTTAATCAACATAATTCCCCTACTGATATGGCATGGTTTTGCTCGTTTACAAAGATTACAAAGA